ATAAACGTTGAAAAAAAAAAAATAAATAAATAGTGTTTTTAAAGTGGAAGCTGAATTTGTCTCCACAGGACAATGGTTTTGGCTATATGAAAAAAAGAGAAAAGAAAAATTGGAAAAGCAAGCTTAAATAAAAAAGGTTTAGGAGACATATCAAATACCTATAACGTGTGACCTTGTTTGGATAATAATTTAAACAAAACAAAATGTGGGGCGCCTGGGTGTCTCAGTCGGTTAAGCATCCAGCTTCGGCTCAGGTCACGATCTCAGTCTGTGAGTTCGAGCCCCGCGTCAGGCTCTGTGCTGACAGCTCAGAGCCTGGGGCCTGCTTCGGATTCTGTGTCTCCCTCTCTCTCTGCCCCTCCCCTGCTCATGCTCTGCCTCTCTCTGTCTCAAAAATAAATAAAAACATTAAAAAAAATTTTTTTTAAACAAAACAAAATGAAAAACAAAAGAAAAATCATTTAGGAGAAAAATGGAGCATATTTTTGGTTTTGTTTTGAAGTAGGCACCATGCCATACCTATGTGGGGCTTGAACTCACGAACCTGAGATCAAGAGTCAGGTGGTTCTCCTACCGAGTCACAAAGGCACCCCAAACGGAGCAATTTGAACATTGATTGGTATGAAAACAATATTTGATCTGTTTGTTTTAGGTATTGTGGTTATAAAAATTACTTATTGTTTAATGACATACTGATGAAGTAATTGATAAGATAATATGATGTGAGTTCTGCAATTTGTTATTGAGGGAAGTGAGATTCATTAAATAATTCACTCACTCTATACCTTTAAAACATTTTTCCATTTAAGAAAAAACCTCTCAACCTTTAAAACTTCACTGCATTCAACTGATTCCCTTTATAACCAAGCACAAGAATCTCTCCATTTCTCTCCCATTTTGCCAGCAATCTACTTCAATAATGCTCAAGCAGGACCTCCCACTGCCTGTAAAACTCAGAGTGAAACTTCAGTTTTCATCTCACTTGACATGGTTGATCACTCCCTCCTTGAAACACTGCGTATACTCTTAGAGTTCCATTAATACCTCACCAGACCTTCCAAGACTGTGTTCATCTCTGAAGCCTGTACAAATTGGGAATTCCCAGGACTTCTCCTTCTACCTCCTTTAGTTCTCTGTGATTTCATTTACTCTCAGGCTTTGAAATTCTATCTCTATGCAGCTGACTTCCTAAGTTATACCTCCAGCCAAAATCTTTTCTTTGAACTACACTCTTATTCAACTGTTTACCTAATGGTTATCTGACAGGTGTCTTAAACTTGACAGGTCCAGAAGTGAGCTTCTGATCTCCCTCAGAATTTGTTCTTTCCCATTTCTCATGATTCTTGGTGATTTCCCCATCTTTCCAGTCACTCCAGACCAATAACACCAGGGTAAACAGTGAGACTTTTTTTGTCCACAATCCAGATTTTTCAGAAATCCTGTTGACTCTACCTTGAAAACAGATCCAGAACCAGGCATCTCTCATGTCCTCATTAGCCAGTCTGGTTCAAGCTCCATCACCTTTTTCTTGAGCTGTTAGGATGTAGCCTCTTCTTTACCATTACCCTACTTTTCTGTTCTGTCTACTGGTTTCTAGTTCAACCCAGTAAGCAGAATGTTAAGTTTGAGTCACATCATACACCATCTCTATGTTTTTTTTTAAGACTTTACTTTCAAGTAACCTCACACCCAACGTGGGCTTGAACTTACAACCCCAAAATCAATAGTAAAATGCTCCACCAAATGAGCGAGCCAGATGCCCCAGCCCCTCTCTATTCTAAAATCTCCAGTAGCCTTCCTTTCACTCACTAAATGCTGATATCTTTACAGCAGCCAACAAAGCCCGAGATGAAACGCTCCAACACCCCTCTTCCCTCTCCAATCTATTTCTTACTCCTCTCCCCATTTCATGCTCTGCTTCAGCCACACTGGCCTCTTTGCTTGCATAAAGTATTCAAGGTAACCTCTTGTCCCCTGATCTTTACATTTGCCATTTCCTCTGCGTAGAATGCTATTTCTCCCAATAAAAACACTAAGGGTTCTTATTGGCCTAAGGACTTTACTCAAATGCTCCATTCTCAACAAATAGCTTTCTGACAACCATATCCAAATAGAATTCTCTCACAGAGCTCTCTCTCCTCTTTCACTGCTCACTTTCCAACACCCAGAACAGCACAAAGTGGTACTCAGTAATATTTGTTGACTGGATTACTTGTATTTGATGCTAAATGTGACCAAGGAAGACTTCAAGGAAGTGATGTCATTTCCCATGTTCCAAGAAGGAGTAGGGCTTCAAAGTAGATGGGACCAAACAAGAAAAACAGGTTTCTGTTTGTTTTCTTAAAGCATAAATAGAAAAAATACCAAGAAATACTGATGGGTCACTTTTTTGTTGACTTTTAGTTTTGGAAAGTATGTAGAAATTGTGTACATGTATGGATTCAGTGTCTTATTTTGAACTCTAAAGCAACATGTATTAGAAACAAGTGAGATTTAAGAATAATTACCTAATTGAATTAACATCTGATCTAAAGTTGTTTTTTGCTGTGTTTTGTTTTCATAATGCCTCATTCCTAAGAGAGCAGCAAGGATAAAGGACAGGGGAAGTGGGGTGCAAGGGAAAGTCCCAACACTTTGGCTAGTGGGAGTTGTGCACAGAGACTCAGCAGCATCCATAGGCCTCACCTAAAAGCGACAGCGATGAAACCTTGCTATTGTTTGTGGTCGAGTTATTCTTCCGCTTGATTCGAGGAATGAATTTCTTCTCCACAGCTCTTATCTTATGTGCAAGAACTTCTGTCATCATTGCTGCCCTTTTCTTCCCAGAACGAGGAACAGGCTGAGTGAAACGTGTTCTTTTTTTACGGCGGGGTGTGAGCACCTCGATGGCCCCAGATTTGATCTTGGCTTCCATTCCTTCACTAGAGCCAAACTCATCTGTGTCTGAGAGTTTGTAGAGCGGTAGCACATGCAGCTGCTCATCTTGAGGAATAACCCCCAAGGAGCGATTATCCTCTCGTGTTAAAGTACAAACCTGACAGAAAGAAAACATGAAATAGGTCCTGCACATTCAGAGTTATTTCTACCTTCTAATTGTTGCCACTATGAAAGGGATCTATGTTCCCATTTTATGTTCCATTGGTTCCTGCTGGTATATTAATTTTGCACAACTAATATACATCAAGCCACTCAACATTCTTCAATTCTAGTAATTTATCAATTATCTGTAAGCAGACCAGCATACTTTTGAGTTGATCTTATAAGTACATATTATGCACGTTTATGTATTTTATAATATTTATAATTTTTATTTATTTTTAAGAGAGAGAAAGAGACAGAGAGAGAGAGCAGGGGAGGGGCAGAGAGACCGTATCATAGGTAGGCTCTGCGCCATCAGCACAGAGCCTGAGGTGGGGCTTGAACCCATGGATTGTGAGCTCATGACCTGAGCGAAAACCACGAGTCAGACACTAAACTGAGCCACTGAGGTGCTTGTTTAAAAATTTTTTAAATGTTTATTTCTTTATTTTTGAGAATATAATATTTTTAAAAAGTAAACTCTGTTGGGGTGCCTGGGTGGCTCTGTTGGTTAAGCATCCGACTTTGGCTCAGGTCACGATCGCATGGTTCATGGGTTCAAGCCCCACATGGGGCTTTGCCCTGACAGTGCAGAGCCTGCTTGGGATTCTCTCTCTCTTTCTTTCTCTGCCCCTTGCCCATTTGCACTCTCTCCCTCTCAAAGTGAATACATAAAACTGAAAACAAAACAAAACAAAACAAAACCACACAAGTAAACTCTATCCCCAATGTGGGCTTGAACTCATGACAAAGAGATCAACAGTTGCATGCTCTACTGGCTGAGTCAGCCAGGCACTCCTGTAATATTTTAAATACTAGGTCTTTTTGTTATATTTCATCTTACTCCAGTGTCCAAGTTAAGGAATGTTTACTGGACTGTCCACAGCTTTCATACTAAATATTATTAAGATATTATTTTAGCCTATATATTACCATATTTCTTAACTATTTAAATAATGACACATTCATTGGGTAGAGGGGAATTACTTATGAAAAATTTCCAGATTGTAAGGTTGACAGAACTTGATGAATACAGATGGTAAAGAAAGATAAACTTAGTTTTATTTTCTCAGTATCTATAGTCACGTTTACTGGCAAGACTTGAAATACTAAAGTCTCTTGGGTGTAATTTGTGAATAATTTAAAGTAATCATGTTAAAAATTAGACTCTTAAAAAAAATTAGACTCTTGCATCAATAAATGTTTAAGCGGTTTATTTGTTCACCGGGACACTAAGAAGGGGCCGAGGAGACAAGATACAAGGAGCATAATTAGAAAGACTGAGGCAGCAGACAGGGAGGCAAGTGAGTTGGTAGCTGAAGGTCAAGATTCCAGGGTTTCAGAAATGCAGAACTTTGGAGTCAGGGCAAGTTCTAGGTACAAGCCTCATTGCATGAGCAATGACAGCAGAGGAGAAGAGGCCACACTGAATGATACACAAGAGAAGCACAAGAAGAAGAGGAACCAAAATCCAGTTTGACTGAACCTAATTCACCCTGATCATGGATACTGTGTCATGAAGCAATTCAAGTAAAGTGACTAGCCAAGCACTAGCCAAGCAGTGACAACGAACCACACTGTGGCCACGATTCACCTGGACAGATTTCTACTATTTCAACTTTGAAAATAACATTTGTCTCAAAGACTATAGTCAACGACAGTGGAGAGGAATGATAATGCAAAAAAAAAAAAATTTTTTTTGGCTCCTTAATTCTATCAGTCATAGACTTCACGGCTAAACAAGGAGGGAAGGCTGCCTTTTGACGGATTAGATTGTGTCCTTCTAGTCACAGTGTAAGGGACTGTAGCTATGTCTTTCTTATATGGGGCCAACCAGACTGGTGTCATGCAAAAACAGAGGAAATCACTCCATATTAATCTCTTGTTTTACTAGGTGAGGAGATAATGACTTGAACCAAATCCATTTCATTTAAAAAAGACAACTGTGTGATTTTTCTCAGGGTCTTTTACTTAATTGAAGTATTTCTTAATTGACTTCACGCTATGGGCGTACAATTCTTTTCATGGCTGTAAACATAAGTATGAGCACTGAAATGCAAATATTTCTGATAATTCTGGAATATTAATGGAACTTTATACATACATACTGGTATTAAGAACAAACATGAACAAGAAAACGATACATTCGGGATAATTCCATCACAAAAACCCTTTGGTACCCAGAAGGCAAAAAAAGAGAACCGATAAATTGCTTAACTTCCTACCTATCAGTTTGAGAACATACAAGAGTGCTCCTACCTGCTAGCAAACACACCACAATTAAATATAAGGTTCAAGACCTTCAAAAAATATTTAAGGCCAGTTCTGTAACTTTGTGGAAGGACTTGGACAATAACGTAAATGCTATTGATGTATATACTATGTGAGACAGAACATAAAATATGATTTTTAAAATTTAATTCATCTCTGCACCCAACGTGGGACTGGAACCCATGATATTGAGAACAAGAGTCATGTGCTCCTCTGACGGAGTCAGCCTGGGGCCCCTAAAATAAAATTTTTAACAGTAATCATATTCAGCCTAACCACACAGAGATGGAGCTTTTAGAATCAAAAGCCATCTATGTACATACCACAGTGCTTCCATTATTCATGTTGTGAATGTCCCTGTGGGGATGGGCACAGAAGTCTAGGCAAGCAGTGACCCCAGAGAAAGGACGACCCTCTTTGCTGCCAAGCCGACATTCTCGGGCAACATGTTCATATTCTACCTAAAAAAGAAATGTATGACACACAGTTGTGAGAGACAGGAAGAATCACCTTCAGTAAAGAATAAAAGTCACTTCCTGACCAGGCTCTTACACTAATGACACATTGCAATTTCAGATATTTATGACCATAGTGCGTTAAAGTAGTGGATGTGTAGCTCAGAAACATTCAGGAGGAAGAGTCTGATAGTACACAAAGTAAAATGCAAATCCCTGGCTGTGACTGATGGTAGGATGATAAAAATACCTGCTGCTGGTGAATAAACAAGCAGAGCAAGCCTAATTTATTCCATTAGGAAGAGAGACGAACATAGTGCATTAATTATGTGGGAAGAGTCCTCAAGGTCTATAAATATACATGTATTCATAAACCAGTATAAAAAATGAATTTATAACTATTTTATTTTATTGTTATTATTATTAATTTTTTAAAGTAGGCTTCAGGCAGGGCTCCAACTTAAGACCCTGAGATCAAGAGTCAGACGCTTAAGCGACTGAACCACCCATGTGTCCCTATAACTCTTTTTAAAATGAAAAGTTGAATTTAACAGAAAGGATGTTATTCATGACAATACAAATAAAGATTTAAGAAATATAGACCATAGGTCTCTGGTTATGTTTAAGATAAAAAGATACTGGCGTGCCTGGGTAAATACACACAATGAAATGCTATTGAGCCTTAAAATGGAATGAAATTCTATGGTGCCTGGGTGGCTCAGTCAGTTAAGCATCTAACTTTGGTTCAGGGCATGATCTCACGGTTTGTGGGTTCAAGCCCCACGTAGGGCTCTGTGCTGACAGCTTGGAGCCTGGAGCTTGCTTTGGATTCTGTGTCTCCCTCTCTCTCTCTGCCCTTCCCCAACTCTCTCTCTCGGTTCCTGAGTTTGAGCATTGGGCTCTCTGCTGTCAGTGCAGAGCACACTTTGGATCCTCTCTCTGCACCTCCCCTAGTCTCACAGACTCTGTCAAAAATAAACAAACTTTTAAAAGATATTTACATGTATTTTCCACCTTGTGATGACTGCACACATGTGTATATTGCAAAAGGATTGCCACAGGAAGGTTAGGTAACATCTCAATCCCTTAACACTATGAGGTTTATTTTGTGTGTGTAGTGATAATTGAAGATCTCTTAAAAACTTGTAAGTATATAATATAGTATTGTTAATTAAATTATAGCCTCAATGCTGTGCAATAGATGCCCAGATTGTATTTATCTTATAGCTAGCTGGAAGTTTGTACCCTCTGATCAACTCCCTGCTTCCCTCAACCCTCATTTCTTTTCTTTTATTTTTTTAAATTTATTTATTTTGAGAGAGAGGGAGAGAGAGAGAAAGGGGGAGAGAGAGGGGGGGAGAGAGAGAGAGAGAGAATGATTGGGAGAGAGCCAGAGAGAGAAAGGGAGAGAGAGAATCCCAAGCAAGCTCCATGCCTGTAGCACAGAGCCCAACATGGGGCTCGAACCACAAACTGGGAGATTGTGACCTAAGCCAATATCAAGAGTCAGACATTCAACTAGCTTAGCCACCCAGGTGCTCCTCCTTTAATTTGTGGATGATGTCCTTTGAAGCACAAAATTTTAAAATTTTGAATTTCTTTCAGTTGTCCTTAATAGAACCTTCAGCAAAGTGTTTAATAGAAATGGTGAGAGTAGATATTCTTTTTTTTCTTTTAAGTTTATTTCTTTATTTTGCAGAGGGTGGGGGGCAGAGACAAAATTCCAAGCAGGCTTCCACACTGTCAGCCCACCTCAGGGCTCAATCACAAAAACCATGAGGTCATGACCTGAGCCGAAGTTAAGAATCAGAGGATCAACTGACTAAGCAACTCAGGCACCCTGAGAGTAGATATTCTTGTCTTGTTCCACATATAAAGCAAAAAATGTTTTAGTCTTTTATCATGATTATGATATTAGCTGTGGGTTGTTATAGATGTCCTGTATCAGGTTGAGCCAATTCACTTCTATTTCTATTTTGATGACTGTTTTAATCATGAAAGTGTTAGCTTTTGTCAAATGTCTTTATACAGAGAGATTATGTGGTTTTTGTCATTTGTTCTATTAATATATTCAGTATACTGGACTGATGAATTTTCTTGTGTAGAATCAATCATGCATTTCTGCTTTTATAAATTATATTTCTAGAAATAACCAGAATTCTGTCACTCTGGAATTTTAATTTAATTCAACTGTCATAACAGGAAGTTTTTAAAGACAGATAAATATACATATTTTTTTAATTAAAAAAAATAGAAAAAAGTTTTTCTTTACAGTAATCTCTACACCCAATGTGGGGCTTGAACTCACAACCCTGAGATCAAGAGCCACATGTTCTGCCATCTGAGCCAGCTAGGCACCCCCAGGCTAGATAATTTTTGAAGTTGTTCTATAAAGATAGATAACCATGTTCAAGAGTACTGCATCTGGTCCCCAAACATACCTGGTTTTGGTAAGCAACTGGAGCATACTGCTTATAAATTGGAGCTAATCGTGTAGCCAAACTCTGTAAATTATCTTCAAGGTTTTTTTCCTATAGGAAAAGACAGTCCATAAAAGTTGTTTCATAATGACATACAAGTTTTAGGTGTGTGAAAAAGAGTCATAAATCATTGCTGATGTGTGGTTGATGCACAATTCATACTTACCCTAATAAAAGAGATACCACAGAAAATAAAATGGGTTGTTTTTTTATAAAATTGAAAGCCTTAGTCATTGTTATGGTTTAACTATGTTGTAAGTGAGTTAGAAATGTAAATGGTGTTAGAGATAAGGTGTAAAACTGCTCACGTTGCTAAATATAAATACAAGAACCGTATTTTATATTTATTTAGCAGTACTGGGCACTTAAATCAAGTAGGACTGTAAGGAGCCTTGACACCATATCAAGAATCTGGATTGCTACTGATGGAAGAAACATGGAAGACTTTTCAAAGGAGAACAGTCTTTAACAAGAGTCTCCATTAAAAATGTCACTGATGACAGTATGAGGTATCCAACACAAAAGGAGAATTTGGAAACAATAGTTGAAAGAGCACTGTGATAATTTTTCAGAGAGGATTGTATTCTAAATCAAATCAAAGACTTGATAAATGATCAATCACATCCAAGGAAGACTATGGAAGGGAAACTGAGAGCAAGGATGAAAGGAAGAATTAAGGAGGCTCAAGGCTTCTGCTTCATTTCAGATTTGATGGATACCAAGAACACAGAAAGACCTTCATGTGGATACGTATCAGATTATAAAAGCCAAAGCCACACACAGTATAGACATAGGAAGTTAATTCTTTTTCTTTTCTTTTTTTAAAGTAGGCTCCACACAAAGCATAAGAGACTGTTGAGAACTGAGAACAAACTAAGGGTTGATGGGGGGTGGGAGGGAGGAGAGGGTGGGTGATGGGTATTGAGGAGGGCACCTTTTGGGATGAGCACTGGGTGTTGTATGGAAACCAATTTGACAATAAATTTCATATATAAATAAAAAAAATAAAAAACAAAACAAAACAAAAAACAAACAAAAAAATAAAAAATAAAAAAATAAAGTAGGCTCCACAACCAGCATGGAGCCCAATGTGGGTTTTGAACTCACGACCCTGAGATGAAGATCTGAGCTGCAATCAAGAGTCAGACACGTAAACGACTGAGCCACCCACCTGCCCCAGGAAGTTAATTCTTGGGTGCCTTTAACAAACCCCAATTTGAGCAACTGAAAAGCATCAGTGGTAATAACTTTGTTTCCTACTGATTTAGGTTGATTCTTTCACTGAAAAAGAAATTTATCTATTTGGCATACATTTAAATTACTCTGTTCCTTTCATCTGTTTTCTTACGTATGTGAAACTTAATATAGCTTAATAAATATCGTCAGGAAAGTCAGGACCCTCCTTTAAAAAACTTCCTGACTATACTCACCCATTAATTATTTCATGTATTTGAAGAAAATTTCACAATTGTGATTTAAGTACCTATTGAAAATATTTTGATTATGTTTTGTAACACCTGAAATATTAAGTGGAGTAATTGTGTTTTACTACTGGTAGATAATGAATTCACAAAGAGTATCAGAAGTTAGACTGAGTATATGGTCATCAGAAAATATTTATTGTGTGGAAATGTTGAAATAAATTAGGCCCACAGAAATTAAATAAAGCTTATATAGGTGACCATTACAAATGTAAGTCTCATTATTCATAATGTAAGGATCTTGACACTCTTGTTTCATTAGAACAAATGTGTTTGTCAGATATAGAGGTTTCTTCATATCAGGTCCTAACATGTCAGTGCTCAAGCCTATATTCCTCTTCTCTTTTCATCCTAAACCTGATCTCTAGGACTGTCATATCCACATCTGTGGTTATAATTACTATCTGGACAAGAAATCACACTTGAGCTTCAGATTGTTATTATTGACCTGACATCCCCACTTGGATTTACCATAGAAATCTCTCACCCAGTGGTTCCAAACTGAATTCATAATCTGCCTTTTTGAAACCTTATGTCAAGAAATAGCACTACCATCTGATTATGAAAACCTTTCCAGACTACCACTATCCTCTATGTCCTCTGTCACAACCAATTCCAAGTTACTATTATCCCTTCTCTGGACTATTCTTTTTTTCTTTTTTTTAAATGTTTATTTATTTCTGAGAGAGAGAGAGAGAGAGAGAGAGAGAGAGAGAGAGAGAGAGTGAAAGGGAGAGGGGCAGAAAGAGAGGGAGACACAGAATCCGAAGCCAACTCCAGGCTCTGAGCTGTCAGCACAGAGCCTGATGTAGGGATTGAACTCACAAACCGCAAGACCATGACCTCAGCCCAAAGTTGGAAGCTTAACTGACTGAGCCTCCCAGGTGCACTTGGACTATTTATTCTTAAAGCTAGCTCAACTTGCTAAACACACTCTTCAACAATTTTAATACATTATTCAAAGAGCAGCTAAAGAGACCCCTTTGAAAGACAAGGGTAATTGTACCACTATTCTCATTAAAACCCTTCAATGATTTTCCAAAATGTTTGACATATAAGGCCACTGCATTCACCTTACTCTCTCTTGCCTGCTGAGCTTCATACTGGCCTTCTGTCAGTTCCTGGAATGAGAAATGCTTCTTCCTGTATTATAAGCACTATATAGATATTACTCATTATTTATAAAGACCATAGAAAAAGATCATGATTCATATATTATTATGTTGTAGAATAAAAATGTAACACTCATGTCAATACTCTGATGTATTTATACACAGGCAGTTTCATCATAAGATATTTGTAAAGAAAAGTGATTAATTTTAAGGGAGAATGGACATCACATTATCAAGTGTTCTTATGTTTGAACATAGCACCTTTCCATGATCAGGTATAGCCTTTAGTAAATTTTATCATTTTCTCCCTAGAGGTCTAATACACTTCTTCGATTTTTAAATGTAAGCTCTACACCCAATGGGGCTTCAACTCATGACCCTAAGATCTAGAGTTGCACACTCTTGAGACTGAGCCAGCCAGGTGCCCCTAACATACTTATTAGATTTCTTCTAAGGTATTTTATCTGCAAATGATAGTTCTCTCACTAAAATCATTTACATGTTTTATTGCAACAGACAGGAACTCTAAAAAATGCTAAATAATTCCACTTACCTCTTTAAAGGGATCATTATTAATTCTGAGGTTCTTGGAAAGATGATATATTCACCTTATTATGGCTATAATTGAGAATCATTCCTGCTGTTGTATTTTGTGTTTCCTATTTATCTTGTATTCTAATGACTTTTAAAAATCCTTTTGCTGATTTATGTATAGGTTGTCTTCCTTAGAAAGATTTTTTCCCCACACTACTTTAAAATGCAAAAATTCTATTTAAATTCATCTAAAAAAATTTTAAACATATGCTTTCTTAAATATATGTTTTTCTGACAAATTCTAGAGCAGTGTTTTCCAAGCTGTGGGTCATGACTCAGTAGAGGGCTATGAAGTCAATTTAGTAAGTCACATCTAACAAAGAACAATGAAATTTTATAAAAAGTATTGTAGTGAATACCAGTGATCCTTTGCTATAATTAAATTAGATATTAAGTTTTTAATATTTTAATATCTTCTCTAACATATAAGATGAAGTATTATTTACTGAAGGTTTTGTTTTAATTATTTACTTGCATATATCTATTGTATAGCAGTTTATAATATAAAATGTTTTTTATTCTTGGTCACAGCTCAAAGTTTGAAAAACACTGATCTTAGAGTTAATTGGTATCTAAATCATCTCCACTCCAAACAAAGCATAAAACATCACCACATTTAGTTCCTGTAGGTGCCCCACCCCCTCCCAGTGCCTACCCACCCTTGAGCTGGTAAGAGTATGGAATTATACTTATCGGTTGTTATTTTAATTTAAAAAAATGTAAGTACTCAACTTATTTAAACTTAACAGTAAGGTTGACTAATTTCTTTGCTCACCATGGCCTCGTGTCCCGGACAGATTGGTTCCGGTTTCATATATCTTCTTTCTGGATTACGTCCTTTAGTAATTCTTTCATAGTAGTTCTGTGGGTAGTAAACTTTCTGAGTCTTTGAAATGTTGGCAAATGGTTTTATTTATTTTTCCTACTTTGGCTGGGTATAAAATTCTAGGTTCTTTGAACAATTATTGTCTCTGGGGTTTGGGGAGAAGGAGGAGGGAGCCAGGGACAGTGGTAATTTGGGCTCAGAGATGAAGACTTTACCTAATTTATTGAGAATTTTAAACTATTTACATATATATATTCTTACTGTTTTTTCCACTACTTCTAAAATATTTAATTGTTTTACTATTTAAAAAACATTTTAAGGAATGTACTTATAAACTCATTGTGAAATTTAAAAGTAAAAAAGGGCACTTACGTGTAAGGGAGAGCTTGGATCAATTCTAAATCTTCTAGGGCTTGGGCTTCTACCAAATTTACATCCATTGAAATACATACTCCAGGAACAACCAAAAGAGAAGGAAGCTCCACAAGTCTCTGGATCAATTCCTTGACATGTACAGGTACGACTGTAAGATGATAATTGCAAGGGAATGAACTGATAAAGCGGGCCAATACCTCAGAAAGAACATTTCAGATTCCTATAATTTTAGAAGTATAGATGACTAATGAATTGATTTTAACACATCTATTTTATTACTGATTTTACCTTAAGTAGTGTTGACAACCCAAAGCTAAATGCCCTTGAATATAGGCCAATTTTTAACTAAAATGTTTGCTCATGATTGGAAATCCAAATAAATAGCAATAAACTATACAGAAATATACATATGGATATGTCCAAGGAGAGGAAATAAAGAATCTAGATTTTAATCCTGGATCTGTTCCCTATCAGATGTGAAAATTAGAGTATCTCATTAGCTCTTTGGACTTTAGCTCCTTCATCTATAAACTGACATTGATATAATTCTCTGAGGATTGACAGTGGATAAGATATTTTGCATGTGAGATCACTCTCAATTTTAATGAAGGTCTTTATTATGGCGCCTGGGTGGCTCAGTTGGTTAAGCATTGGACTCTTGATTTCGGCTAAGGTCATTATCTTGCAGTTTGTGAGTTCAAGCCCCATGTCGGGCTCACTGCTGTCAGTCTGTCAGTGCAGTACCTGCTTCAGATCCTCTGTCCCCTCTTCTCTGCCCTTCCTCCACTCGCATTCTCTCTCTCAAAAAATAAATAAAATATTAAAAAAAAAAAAAACCATTAAAAAGTCTTCATTAAGCTTATAAATGAAAAAATTGAACTGAAAGTAATTTGGTTGTTTTATCACATTGGGGGCATTTCTGAGGTCCTAACAGACCCAATAGTAAGGATGACAGTGATTACAATATTCATACAAAGATATGAAACCAAGGAGGTAAAAAGCACTCTTTGGTTTCTAATTGCATAATCCTCAAAACTTGAATAGTATGTGCATAGTTCTTACGTAATGATAAAAAATACAAACAAAAACCCATATTTTAAAAAGTCAATGAAAAGAATATAGAAATGTAAAGTTTGAAACTATTATTAGTATTTTTAAATTGTAAACATCAGGAAAATGTCTAATACGTAAGGTAACACTGAATATGATAAGAAAGTATACAAAAAGTATCATTTAAGATACTGCGAAGGGGAGGAATCGTCTAAGTACCCCTAAATCTTCTTACCAAGATGGAAGATATATTGTAAAATGACAAAATGTTACAACAACTTGAAAAGGAAGAAAAAGGGTATGCAAATGGGATTAAATTTGAAATTACAGAAGGACATTAACGTTGCCAAATAGAAAAATAAATAACACATTTATGTCATTGAAATGACACATGGAAAGGAAAGAAAATTGTAGTTTCACTGAAAGTTGACAGTTATTTAAACAATTAAAAACACAGGAAATGTAGAAGTTCATGAGACCTACAAGAGCTTTTGCAAACAGTCAATATCACTGATAATAGGACAAATGAAATGAAAGTAGGTCCTTATCTTATGGACTAAATATGATAGTCCTGCCAATAATTTCTCAATTGAATTACATTAGCAAGCAGCAATCAAACTCAAACTGAGCAATTGTCTATAAAATTAGGACCAAAGCAAAAATGTGCTATTGGGACCTCCTCAAAATAAAAGGCTTCTGCACAGCAAAGGAAACAATCAGGAAAACTAAAAGGCAACCGACAGAATGGGAGAAGATATTTGCAAACAACATATCACATAAAGGGTTAGTATCCCAAATCTATGAAGAACTTATCAAAAATCAACCAAAAAAGAAATAATCCAGTGAAGAAATGAGCAAAAGACATGAATAGACACTTCTCCAAGAAGACATCCAGATGACCAAGTGACATGAAAAAATGCTCAACATCACTCATCACCAGGGGAAAATACAAATCAAAACCACCATGAGATATCACCTCACCCCAGTCAGAATGGCTAACATTAACAACTCAGGCAACAACAGATGTTGGCGAGGATGTGGAGAAAGAGGATCTCTTTTGCACTGCTGGTGGGAATGCAAACTGGTACAGCCATTCTGGAAAACAGGATGGAGGTTCCTCAAAAACTTAAACATAGAACTACTCTACAATCCAGCAATTGCACTACTATAGGTATTTATCCAAAGGATACAGGTGTGCTGTTTTGAAGAGACACATGCACCCCAGTGTTTACAGCAGCACTATCAACAATAGCCAAGTATGGAAAGAGCCCAAATGTCCTTTGATGGATGAATGGATAAAGAAGATATGGTATATATACACAAAGGAGTATCACTTGGCAATCAAAAAGAATGAAATTTTGCCATTTGCAACTACATGGATGGAATTAGAGGGTATTATGCTAAGTGAAATTAGTCAGTCAGAGAAAGACAAATATTATATGATTTCACTCATATGAGGACTTTAAGATACAAAACAGATGAACATAAGGGAAGGGAAGCAAAATAATATAAAAACAGGGAAGGGGACAAAAACGTAAGAGACTCTTAAATATGGAGAACAAATAGAGGTTTGCTGGAGGGGAGATGGGCTAAATGGGTGAGGGGCATTAAGGAATCTACTCCTGAAATCATTGTTGCACTATATGCTAAGCAACTTGGATGTAAATTAAAAAATAAATAAGTAAATAAGTAATAATAAAATTAAAAAAAATAGGACTTCAAAAATATCAATACAATGAAAGACAAGGCATGAGATTTAAAAAAAGTTAATGTTTTATTTTTGAGAAAAAGAGCTCAAGTCAGAGAGAGAGGGAGAGAGTATCCCAAGCAGACCCTTCACAGTCAGTGCACAGTCCATCGCAGGGCTAGAATCTACAAACCAGCGAGATCATGAACTGAGCTGAAAGGAAGAGTCAGACACTTATCCAACTGAGCCACCCAGGTGCCCCAAGTCTTCCTGTTTTTGATTATTGTACAGGAGTTATGGAAGAGAATTTTGTCATTCTTAGAATATACTCTTGAGTAGTATTTACAGGAAAAAGGTATCAAGCCTGCAACTAACTGACAAATAATCCAGAAAGAAAAAATTTAAAAAATAAAAATAGCACTAATAATAGTAGTTTTTTTTGTTGTTGTTATTTATTCTTTGAGAGACAGAGAGACAGACAGTGCATGAGCAGGGGAGGGGCAGAGAGGGAGGGAAGACACAGAATCCGAAGCAGGCTCCAGGCTCTGAGCTGTCAGCACAGAGCCCGATGCGGGGCTCGAACTCACGAACGGTGAGATCATGACCTGAGCCGAAGTTGGTCACTCAACCAACTGAGCCACCCAGGCACCCCAAGTAGGTTTGTGTGCATGTGTAAAAAAGCAAATTTTACAAATTGTTAACAATAATGAAATCTATGTGAGGGGTATATATGATAAGAGTTCATTGAAATATTCTTGCATCTATTCTGTCAATAAGAATTTTTCTTAATTTTTCTTTATTTTTTTTAAGTAGGCTCCAACTCACAAGCCAAGATCAAGCCCCACATTGGGTGTAGAGATTACAGAGGGGATGTCATATATTTTTGTTTATATTTTGTATAATGACATTTCTTTTTTTTTTTAATGTTATTTATTTTTGAGACACAGAGAGACAGAGCATGAACGGGGGAGGGTCAGAGAGAGAGGGAGACATAGAATCCAAAACAGGCTCCAGGCTCTGAGCTGTCAGCACAGAGCCCGACGCGGGGCTCGAACTCACCACGAGATCATGACCTGAGCCGAAGTCGGATGCCCAACTGAGTGAGCCACCCAGGCGCCCCATGTAATGACATTTCTTTAAATACTCTCTAGTAACTGGAGTTGGCTTAAATGGAAAAAATGATAGAAATAGATCTCCTCCTCCCATGATTGACTAGCATAAATTTTCAAGTTTATTTATATATTTTGAGAGAGTGAGCACGTGCATGTGAGTGGGGGCAAGGCAGAGAGCGAGCGAGAGAGAGAGCCATAGAGAATCCCAAACTGGTTCTGCACTGTTAGCGCAGAGCCTGAAGTGGGGCCCAAACCCACGAACCATGAGTTCATGACTTGAGCCGAGGTCAGACTCTTAACAGACTGAGCCACCCAGGTGCCCCAACTGGCATAAATTTTAAATACGTCACAAATTCAGGTTTTTAAAATTTACAATTTCAACAAGAACTAAAAGAAACCATGGGTGAACTACTATATAACTTGCAAGAAAGAAAAATATTCTTTAATGCCACTTAAAATGCAGACAGAAAAGAAAAATAGGTATGATTAATTATATTATACAAGAAAGAGGATGGGGTGACTGGCGGGCTCAATCGGTGGAGCATGAGACTCTTGATTGTGAGCTTGAGCCCCACGTTGGGTGTAGAGATTACTAAAAATAAATAAATGAGTAAAGGAGAATATCCTAAAAGGGTCTCAACTCACTATGAAACCAAAGGAGAATATCCTAAAAGGGTCTCAACTCACTATGAAACCAAATTTCTATTAAAGAAAAAACAAAAACAAAAAAACCCCACTTCATCATTTTTAGTTTTAGAATACCTAAATTTACGTTCTCCCATATAATACACGTCATTGGTAGTTAACTAACAATGTAATATTACATAATAGAGGTCTGAACAGGAAAGCAGTAATAACTAAATTTGATTACTTTTCATTGAGCGTGCATCTTCGGTCTGTGGGATGACCGTTGTAGGACTTCAGATTTTCAGTGAGCTCTGTATACAGTCTGTCGGCCATGGGGAGAGGGATGCCGTCCCACACCATGATGAGGACCACCATCACAGCTGTTGGACAATGGTGGCCTGTGCGCTGCCGAACCAAACAGAGAACTTTTTCTTCATCGCTGCCTCTTCTTAAAACCTGGAAAAGCAGAGTGCATTTGTTTATAGAAAACAAGAAACCTAAACTTGAGTGCAATGGATATTGGTTTTAAAGCTCTGTATTATTGCATTTCAGGTCTTTTTAAACATGACTATTTCTTAAAGGGTTGAAACCTATTTAGTTTTTAGACTAGTTGCCTCCACACAACTCAGAGTAACCCAGGTTACTTGACTAACAAACAACAGGCAGAACAGGAGTCTGTGGTATGTGGTTATTACTTGTGAAAGGAGACGAAAGCAATCTGTGGTTTCTTTCGCTGTCGATACAGTATTGCAAAATAGACAACAGAGGATTCCCTGGAAAAGAGCCTAACTGTTTTGTTCTTACACAAATGCCACAATGGGACAAATCTAGCCAGATGCAAATAACCAGGGACCCTCAATATTAAAAATGGACTTCAGCACTTGGGTGAATGGTTTTATTAGACAGAATAATTAATATATAAAGCAATGCTCCTAAAATTCCTGTGACCTTTCCATGCTATCACAAGGATCTAGCATACCCATATTATAAGATTAAGGTGGTTCAGTTGACACGGTAAATGCAAAATACAACAATTAACTTTGAATAATTATTGATTTTTCTTACACTGTATCGTACCCATGGGGTGCTATAAAGGTCTCAGAAGTATTTAAAATATAGCCCAGTGGTCCTAGTGCACACCAAAACATTACATAAAAATGTTGACAAGACATAAAACCAACCAATTCTGTTTAAAACTCCCTCCATAAATCACAAATTTACACAGCAGAGACACTGACCACATTAATCAGCACATAATCAGTAAATGATAAAGGTGCCCACCCCTGTGACCAAAATGGAGTAACGAACAGCAAAATTATTATCCCATTTCTGTTGCTATAATAATATTACATAAACTTGAGATGAAACTTCTTAAGATGTTAGTTACCCAATATCACTTTCTTCTGTCACTCCAGATGGTTAACAATCATTGCTACCAAGGCATCCCTTGAGTAGAGTTGGCTTTAGGACCTTCCCCCTAAACACAATTATTTATATTAAAATTTTTTTCTATACTTATATGTCCTTTTACAGCCAAATAAGAATACATTTGCTTTCAAATAATCTCAAATACAAAATGATATATAATGTATTAAACAAAATTATACCAGATAATTTTCAAGTTTTCAAGCAAAGAACAAAGTTACATTTATCTAGTCTTTGTATGGGAAATGCTAAAACGCTATTTATTCATGGTTATCTGTGCTTTTCTCAGATTCTCCAAATGTCATTCAGTGAACATCAGAAAATTAAGCATAACGAGTCTCTAAATTCAGATCTAGGTTCAATATGCTGCTTAAATACTGCCATGGTATGAAGATCTGTGACCACCAAAAATCCATATATTAAATCTTGAATCCCAGTTGTGGTGGTATTACAAGGTAGGGCCTTTGGGAGGTAATTAAGTCACATGGGGGAAGCTCTCACAAGTGAGATTAGTGTTCTTATAAATAGACACCACAGAACTCCCTAACACCTTCATACATATGACAACACAAAGAGAAGAGGACTCCCCCCACCCCATCCCTCCCCCCGCTCCACCCATGCTGGCATCCTGATTTGAGACTTCCACACTCCAGAACTGGGAGAAATATATTTCTGTTGTATAGAAGCCACTCAGTCTGGTATTTTCTCATAGCAGTCTAAATGGAGGAAGACAAGTATTATACCTGTGTAAGTCTATAAAAACTATAAAACATTAAAAGAAATTAAAGGTGATCTCAATAAAGGCAGAACTACCATGTTCATGGAATAGACACTATTATCATGATGTCAATTTTCCCCAAATGGATTTCCAGATGTGATGGGATCCCAAGCAAAATCTTATCAGAGTTTATTTTGTTTTGGGTGGAAGTTGACAATCTTGTGCCAAAATTCAAATGGAAATGCAAGAGATGAAAAAGGGCCAAGAAAATGAATGAAGGCAAAGTGATTTACCAGATTATGAATCTTGACCCTTACTGCACATAAGTAGCTTGAGTTATATTGTTGATATAAATATGAAAGTTAAAACAACACGTTTTTGAAAGAAAACATCTTCATGACCTTGAAGCAGGTAAAACCAATTTAGAATAGATTACCACATTTAATAACTATAAAGAAAAATATTAAGAAGGTGGATTGTACAGGCGCTTGGCTGGCTCAGGTAGTAGAGCATGGAACTCTTGATCTCAGGGTTGTAAATTTGAGCCCCATGTTAGGCGTAGATTATGTAAAAATAAAATCTTAAAAAAAAAAAAAGAACTTGGATTATATTATAATTAAGAACGTCTGTTCATGAAAAACATTAACTAGCAAGAGATTAAGAAGGCATACAGGCAAGCAATACAGTGGGAGAAATATTTATAATACATATAATTGATAAAGTATTTTTACCCAAAGTATATAAGGACATTTCTCCAAGTGAGTAATAAAAACACAATAGAAAACCAGCCAAAGATTTGAACAGGCTCGACACAAGAGAATATCAAACAGATGATGAGCATATGAAAATATGCTCCACATTACTCGTCATGTAGCAAAGTAAGAAAATTTTAAGGCACCACATATGTTGGTGTGATGATAAAATAGTGAAAACTGCTATAGAAAACAGTCTGGAAGTTCCTCAAAAAACTAAAAATAGAACTGCCATGTGATCCAACAATTCCACTCTGGAGCTTACATCCGAAAGAACTGAAAGCAAGGCCTACAACAGTTATTTGCGTGTTCATAGCACCACTATTCATAATAGCCAAATGGTGGAAGCAATTCAAATGTCCACTGACAGATGAATGGATAAACAAAACGTGGCATATCTATATAATATCCAGACTCAAAAAAGAAGCGAATCCTATTACATGCTACATACAACATGGATGAACTTTAATGATACAATGTTAAGTGAAATAAGTCAGTCACAAAAAAGCAAATCTATAGGATTCCAGTTATAGGAGGTACCTAAAGTAGTCAAATTCATAAAACATAAAAGGGGAATGGTGGATACCAGTGGCTGTGATAATGGGATAATCGGGAGTTATTTAATGGGCATAAAGTTTCAGATTTGAAAGATGAAAATGTTCTGGAGATTTATGCCACAAAAATCTGAATATATATTAATGCTAAAGAATTATACACTGTGGTTAAGTGGGTAAGATGGTAAATTTTATGTTTTTTTAAACATAGTATAAAAAAAGTGGAAAGAGGTCTTAAAAAAAAAAGGCACTAAACACCCATTAGAATGTCTACAGTGAAAAAGAAAATATCAAGTATTGATAAGAATGTGGAGCGACTGGAAGAGTTGTATGTTAGTCATGTGACTATAAAGAGATAACCACTTTGGAAAACTGTGTGTTCCTATCAACCAAAGCTGCACATATGCACACCCCACCCTCCCCACCCCTGCAATTTAGCAATTCCACTTCTAGATGTACAGCAAATAAAAATGTATTCTTATATTTCCCAAAGATTTCACCAATATTCATAATTATCCCAAATTGGAAACAACTCAAATGTCAATCACCAGAAGAATATAACTCCATAAATTTTCAACATTTATGGTAACAGAACACTACTGAGCAATGAGAATGAGAATGACTTACAGTTACAGAAAACATGAATTAACCTTACAACTCTAATGGTGCATAAAGGAAGATAAGACGAAAGAATAATTATTGTAAGACTGCATTAAGATGAAGTTGGAAACAGGCAAGAGAAACCAATACTGTTAGAAGACAGGACAGCGGCTACTTTTAATCGGGGATAAGAGGGGACAAGAGTGCTTTTGAGGTGCTAGTAATATCAGATGCCAATTACACAAAGGTGCTCACTTTAGAAAAATCCTGTGACCTTAGGATTTCTGTAGTCTTCTGCACATATGCTACAGTTAATTAAGAAGTCTACCTTAACCTAAATTAAAACAAGAAACTGGAAAGGCTGGAGCATCTGGGTGGCTCAGTCAGTTAAGCGGCCGACTTCGGCTCAGGTCATGACATCACTGTCTGTGGGATTGAGCCCGAGCCCAACGTCGGGCTCTGTGCTGACAGCTGGGAGCCAAGAACCTGCTTTGGATTCTGCGTCTTCCCCTCTCTCTGCCCCTCTGTGGCTTGCACTCTGTCTCTCCCTCTCTCTCTCAAAAAAGAAATAAAAATTAAAAAAAATTAACAGCAAAAACTTGTAAAGGCGGTCATTTACTACTTCAGGATACTTTAGCAAGTTTCTTAACCCATGTATAGCAACACAGAGCTAGGATCTAATTAATATTAGCCACTATTTCATGTCTCTTTGATTTATTACTGCACACTTGGCTCCTGATCATAGAATTTCAGCTCAAATATTTGTTGAATGAATGGTTAAAAACCACAAGAGCCCAATGTGGTTGCATTTTACAAAAATTTCAAAAAATACAAGTTACACTATTAAGATGAAAACTCTCATTTCAAAAGAAGATTTTAAGTGAGTATAAATATCCCCACTTTTAAAACTTTTCTTGAGAATTGTATCATTTAGAAAGTGGAAGGATTTATTAATTTATAAGCTGTTGAATCTGTGGTCACATGGCAGTCACTTTAGATGGTAAATGGTACATACAAACTTCTGTGGGAAATGTTTGTGTAATTAAAAACACACCACAAACTGAATGAAAAATGTTTTAAATAGTTTTCATAAATATGATCGACTTGTCATATATGTAAAATAATTTAAATACCATGAAGTCCATCCTTTAAAAGTACAGAATTCATTGGTTACTGTATACTCAGCGTTCACCCTCTCCCCAACCCCTTAGAAGTCATGCCACTTTTTTCTCCTTCCTCTGTCTGCTTCGGTCCCAAATCTATTTTCTACCTCTATGGACTTTGCTCATTTGGGACATTTCATATAAATGGAATCCTCTAACACGTGGCCTTTTGTATCTGGCTTCTTTTCCTCAGCCTATGTTCATTCATGTTTGTAGTACTTATCGGTAGTCTATTCCTTTTTAC